ATCAACGTTCAAATGGCATGTTTTATGTAAATTTCTTGTTAGTAGTTTTTGCAATTGGGACACAGTAAGTTTGTTGCACAACTGTATTCAGTTTCGATCTATTGTACATTTTGGTAATGATAGATAATATGTTAGAACTTATTTGATTTTGATGTTTTGATGAGTGTATTGCATTCGCTTACTCAAAACGCAGTTGATGTGTATGCGTGTTTTTAGTCGCCATTGTGCTTTTGCAGATAAATGTGTCGTCTATGAAGGCTTGACGGATCAACCGTTTGGTGGTTGGAAAGGTACGTGCAGTTGGTAATAGGTTGACACGATATCCTTTTTCGACTTCATTATGTTATTATTAACGTGTTCTTGAATTTTGTTTATTTTGTTCAGTTACACGTCGCCGTATGGGTTTGAACGATTCCCAGCCAAGCCCTGAATCACAAAACATTAAACGTGCACATGAAGGTACACATCTGTACATTAGTCGTAATTATACGTGTGGCTCATGCAATGTTCGGTTCATCTATTTCTTGTTGTTATCTTGCAGCTAGCAAACAAAAGTATGATGCACCAAAACACTCTGAAGATTGTGTGAACCAAAGAAAAACAGTCGTGAACACAGGCAGTGATGATTTTGTTGACAACACATCTAATTTGAAACGTGATAAGATTATGGCGTCACGAATGGTATATTTATTTATGCTTAGTATCATATATTTCTTGTTATTATTCCCATATAAACATTAATTGTTGATGCTGTTCAATTATACACACGTCCTTTTCATTTCATTACGTGTTGTTATCTTTGCAGCAATCAAACGGAAGGTCGATGCACTAAAACGAGCAGAAGCAGGCAGTCCGTGATATGGGATTCAGAACTTTGTTGGAGTTGATGATAACAATGACACCGGCCAAAATAGGGTATTGGTTGCTTGATAACTTCAACCATGTGGATCAGAAGTTGCAACTGTACGACAAGGAAACGATTAACGTGAAAGAAGACGATGTATACGTTGCACTAGGACTGCCTCGTGGAACGATTGAGAACACAAGTAAAAAGAAAAAAACCGAGTCGGAGTTGTTGAAGAATGGGTGAGGTTATATAATGATACAACAGGACGTTGTGTTGAACAATTGACAAATGGTGAACAATTGACAAATGGTGCATTTTTTGCTATGTTGTCAAACGTTACCATTATTTTGATGTCAGGCATTATATCATTACAGTTTTATATTGTTTTTTACAAACAAAGGTTGCAACATATCAGATTGCGTGTGGACTACATGGATGAATGGTGATCACAAACAATAGACGAAATAATGCACCTCAGTGTACATCATATTGCACTTTTCTTCAAATTTAATTGCACCTTATGTAATAATATTTAAATAATAGGGTATACGCAGAAATAAGTTTGTGCATAAACGATATCTTGATGATACAACCAACATGAACATATGTTGTACCAGAACATAGAAATAAAAATATAATAATAATGATAATAATCATAATAATAATAATGACACAACATCGTATCACAATCACTTACAATTGCACTGTAATGTTGCACTTTATACAACATTGCACTGCATTTTATGTCCAAGCTCACCGCACTTTATCACATGGCGTCTTGCTATGACACCACAAACATAAGATAAAAACAACCGTAATATACTAATATGTCAACGCGTGACGTGTACTGGAATAAACGTTCATGAAAACATAGTATCGAAAACTAAGATATATTTACTAACGCTAAACACATAAAAAATGATGTCTACCCGGTTTAGGCAATGCACCAATACAACCACCATAACGACACGTTTTTTTACCATTTCGAAGGCATATCTAGTGCCCATGTGTATGCACATTACACAGTAATATATTGCACTCTACACCTAATTTCGTTGCACTTTATAAATATCACTGCACTTTACCGACAGTAAAAAACGTGCGAAAGCCATACAACACATAATATACAACTGTACATATTATTTCATCGCCTACAAAAAAAATGACGGAAAAAAAGGAAACAAATAAAAATGTGCTAAGATAACAATATCCACCAAAAAATATTCCAACACATTAACCATCGCAAACATACCATCCGCCATAAACGTACCAACATGTGATAAAAAATAGTTATAAACGTATACGAGTAGCTCTTGTTTAAAATTATTGAAGTCCACACTTGTGGCACCAATATTTGAATACCCACCAACCATCTCCTTGTACAAACAGTATGACCGAACTGGTCATATATTGACTTCGATGCAATTTAGTAAAAAAGGTTTGATGTCCCGCGTTCATCATCCTATTGACCTTCATTTGCGATTTCTATCTGATGTCATTGGGTGGTTATGTTTATCCTCAAAGTACTTTATGATGTAGCCATTCAGCCCGTCAATACGCAGCATGATGCGAGCATTGCAACCTACCTGGTTCGACATCCTACGCCTCGTTACCCACCCTTCATCACACGTCATTCTACCGATTGCTGCATGGTGCTTATATCCTTCTCTCGAGCACAACATGTGTTTCCATAGGATCGTATTGTCACGTGCTTTTACTAAGGTGTTGTGCCTCACGTAGATACCAACATTGAGAGCATATCTCTTGTAGAAATCGATGGCTTCATGTAATTATAGAAACCTTTGCCTTTTGTAAGGTTTGGTTGATTCCTCACGTTCTGGTATCTAATATTTAGTTCCATCGGTCATGTAATTCCATAAACCGTTGCCATTTGTAATGGTTGTCCGTGTACCTTGAATATTTGTGTTGAAAAAAACGAGAAAAGTCAATTGACTGCACATTTGTGATAATACAATTGCACATAAATATTCAACAGGTTGCACATTATCACATTACAAATATCATAATGTTCAGTGAACACCACATGAAGGACTGCACTTTATGCTCTTTCATGTATGATAAAGCATTGTATAAACAACAAGTTAGTGTCTCCATACTTGAATATCTAACATAAAAAGTACTTGTCTGTGATTCACCCGAATCCATTGTGTACGTAGCTCAGCCGAGCGAATGTTTCAACAACCTAAAGAAAATCAATAAAGCATACAAGACAACTGATTTATATCTTCATAATAGAATCTCATTATAGAATTCTAAATATGTAATTATGGGTTTGTTGTTACATAAACATATCAGCAATTATTCTAAATTACATTGAATAATTGAACTAAATTACACTTGAATGAACAGAACACTAAGATTATATACCTGATATAGGAACTATCGTCATCGTGAACGGAGTTGCGATCGGAAATTTGGGATCGACCAAATCTAGGTTACATCACGCGCATGAGAAATTGATCACAAGATTGTCAACAAATCAGCTACATATTAAAGGACGTTGATCGATAAGCTCGAACGAGGTAATTTATTCCAGAATTCAAATCAGAGTACCTGCCGGATATCTTCGAGATCGAGCTAGGGGTTCACCATCCATGTCTCCATTTATTTCCGTTGCAGGTTGTGGAGGTGCGAGGAATTGATTTGTGTTAATGAGATAACAATATTACCATTATACCCTCAATAACAATTTAATTTGTTTCCAGCGTGAATTGGCGTGGACAGATTGTGTCCATTAG